TCTCTGAAGATAGCCGCAGTCAACGTCCGCGGCCTTTGTTCTCAACAACGACTCGCGGATTTTGAAGCCAACGTCAGGAAAGTGAAGTTCACTCTGATTGGATTATCCGAAACCCGACGCCCTAACCGTGAGTGTCTTCAACTTGGATCAGGCTTTGTATTATACAATAGTGGACGTTGCGACGATACCCCCACATATGCTGGAGTGGGATTTTATATGTCCACATGGATGAACAAAAAGCTCGTCGGTATCCGTTACATCAGCGATCGTGTAATACAAGCCGAGTTCCTTATAAGAAAGAGACGTCTCAGGATTATTCAAGTTCATGCGCCGACTTCTGCCGCAGCAGATGAAGAGTATGAGCAGTTCCTTGACGAGGTAGAAGCAGCACGACATCCGTTTAGAAGTCCAGCTGTACCCGAAATAATCTTCGGCGACTTCAATGCAGTCATAGGACGCTCTCCCAACCATGTGCCTGGATGCGGACCTCATGCTACTGGTAGAAGAAACGTTAGAGGCACGACACTGCTGTCATTCTGCTCCGCAAATGGCCTTTTAGTCGCCAACACATTCTTCAAGAAAAGGTTTGGTAGAAAATGGACATGGAGAAGCCCAAACGGAACCACCCGTACTGAAATAGACCACGTACTATGCCCCAACCTAAAGTTTGTCCGCGATGTGACAACGCTTTCTGGATGCAATGTCGGTAGCGATCACCGGATGGTACGAGTAACTTTGGCGATGTCAATGAAGCCTGCTCATTTCCACCAAAAAGCAAGGCCCTTGCCACAGAGCTTCGACAAGCTGAAACTACAAGCTGCAATGGCAATGCAGCCCCGTCCAGCAAACGGTTTCCGGATTTCAAGCTTCTTACAGGTGGCTAAAAATTGCATGACCTTGGCTCAAACTTCTCAGCAGCGAGTGGAACGAGTCTCTGCTCGCACAAGGGCACTGATGGCAGAGCGAAGAAAGCAGAAGTTTGGATTGGCAAATGGCTCCACGAATCCCCTGCTATACACGTTGCTATGTAAACAAGTCCGATGGTCACTCACAGATGATTTGCGGAAGCACAACGACCGACTCATGGAAAGTGCCATCGAAAAACTAAGGATAAGGCATGCTAGATACGAGTTGGCCTATGTGCATAAACAAATATCACAACTTCAACGTGCAGATGGTTCTTTGACGACAACACCACTAGAAGCTTGATTACCGCGCGGCTGCGTTCTACAACGAGCTCTACCGCTCCTCCCAAGGACCTTTTGTTTACTCTGTAACTGGCCCGTTGGGACGGCCGGTTACTGCAGACGAACTCTGTAAAGCATGCCGTGGCATTCGTGGAAACACTGCATCTGGCCCTGACGGAATCCCATCCAGTGTAACGAAGTATCTGGTCCCCATGTGTGCAAACGATCTCGCAACCGAACTCAACCAATTTTTCGAACTCAACCATTTCCCGGAAAGTTTCGTTAAGGCTAAAACCATCCTTCTCTATAAAAAGGGTGACCCTTCCAACATCGGCAACTATAGACCAATCTCCTTATTGTCGACGCTCTTCAAAGTTCTCACCCGTGCACTAGCTCATCGTGTGGAAGAAGAAGTAATGAGCTCTATTCCCATTGAGCAAGCTGGATTCAGACGCGGTTTCTCCACCCGTGACCACATTATGTCCGTCAATCTGTTGATGGAAAAAAATGCCGCGTGAATAAGCGACAAGAAACCACTACATATGGTGTTCGTTGATTATCAAAAAGCCTTCGACACTATCGAATTCAATGCTATCTGGAGAGCATTAGCTAAATATGGAGTAGACGACTGTACGATTCGGATGATAAAGCAGCTCTATGCTGCTGGCCGATCATTTCTGACTCTCAGTGCTACAGAGAAGATGATCGACATACAACGAGGAGTTCGACAAGGTGATTCACTATCTCCATTGCTGTTCATTCTGACACTCCATTCCTGCCTTGACGACATTGACTGGGAGGATCAAGGGTACCCCATTGGTCAACATCGTCTCAATTACCTCGCATATGCTGACGATCTTTTTCTGTGCTCTCCAACTATTGATGGATTACAAATAATGCTCCGTAAACTCACTAGAGCGACCAAAGAGGCTGGACTAGAAGTGAACGCAAATAAGACCAAATGGATGTCAACCAGCTCCAACGGCCATCAACTCAGAGTAAACGAGGTGGAGATTGCACAAGTAACATCATTCGTCTACCTGGGCCAAGTTATCTGTTTTCCGCAGGAACGCGGTCAGGAAAATCAGCTCTAGGATGCGAGCTTCGCCATGGAACATCACAGAAAAGTCAGAACTCTACTAAGAAGCAAGATGACGCCGATGCGGATCAAACGACGTTTCTTCCATATCTGCGTAATGCCTGCACTACTGTACGGATGCCGAGGACATGCCCTCACTGAACGAAGGCGCATTAAAGAAACGTCTGCGAAGAACTCAGCGAAGAATGGAGCGACAGATGCTCGGTCTTCGACTCAGCGACAAGGTATCGAATACAGCTATAAGAGTCAGGACACAGCTGAAAGACGTCGTTGCTGAAGCTAGAAAACGCAAATGGATATATGCGAATAAACTGATGACCAGAGATCAAACACGATGGGAAGTTCGATTGTTGAATTGGAAGCCCTCCGGAAATAGAGCAGTCGGAAGGCCACGAATGCGATGGGAAGACGATCTCAAGATGTTTGCTGGAACGGACTGGAAGAACATCGCGACTACACCCGAATGGTTTCAGAGCATGGCCCGTTTCTCTGTATATATCAGATGAGTAGCGGAATAAATTGTATTGTATTGTAATTGTAAAATCTTTAATCAAACTGTTTGAAGTTTAGTAGCACAGCATGTGAATCACCAAGCGCTCGATTGGAATCGGGTATTCGCTTTAGGCACGGTTAGAAATCGTTCTGCATTCAAGCCCCTGCAGCGTGGAGAAAATATCGTCGGAAGCATTTTCGCGCGGCAGGTACAATTTGGTTTTTGGAGCCAAAAAAAAATCGCAGCCTATTCTTAGTATCTAGCAATACAATTGATTGATAGGATAGTATTACACAATTTCTTTCATTGCTTTACTTCCCCTTGTCTTGGTAAAATACACGTGCTGTAGTTTTCAAGATGAAATAAAGAGCGTTGCGTGTCTCATAGGAACTGAATGACACCAATTTAATTATCAGTTTAGAAAGTAAGACACCCTGTGTCACCCATCCCCTCTACAGTTTCGAAATGAATATCGCTGAAGTTGTATAGGTTTGATAGCTAAGAATTTATAGTTCCATACTGCGTCGCAGTTTTTGGACCCTTGAATAGTTTTTTATGACTACCAACGCCTCTTTCTTCATCTGTCTCTGCAATCCACTCTTGAATGCTTCTCCATTTCGTTCATCGCAACTCCATAGCACTTTTGTTGTTATCGGATAACGTAGTGCCCTATATATATTGAAACTGCTTCTCTACTCCTTTATTCTATTATTTTCTTATTCACAGATTACCATTTATTTACAAGTCCTTTCAAGAGCTAGGACGTACCACTAGACACTGCAAGGTCGCATTTTTTGGCCAGCTTAGACGCATCGGCTCAGAGGCAACTTACAACATCTTAACACACTTGCACGACAACGCGTGGTTGCGGGAAAGCAGCCGCTAGGCGACAAGGCGCATGTTTTTCGCAATTGCGTCCGCTTTAAAGCCACCGGGGTGGTCATATTGCTTCCTCAGGGACCACTTTTTTGCCCCGCTATGTCAAATTTCGCAAAATGATTAGTCAGTCGTGCAGGGACTGCTATTTCAACCATCCTTGACCCTATTGGATGCCATCTCATGCCCCGCCCTCTGCGATCACGCCCACTTTTTAGCGCGATCGTGATTTCCAAAATGTGTGCCATAACTTCTGTTTCTAAGAATTTTCTTGGAATTTTCTGCTTTTCACACATTACATTCATTCATAGACGGCCACACCGACACACTTCTATCGAATTCGGTGTCAAAAAGATCGCTGGCGCCAAAGTGGCGCCAACACTGGAAGGCAACGATATTCGTGACAAGGATGTCAAATAACCTAGCTATGGAGGTTTCTATCGCATTCGGTGCCAAAAAGACTGCTAGCGCCGAAATGGCGCCTACTGGCGCCATATGGCGCCAACGACAAATAAGATCTCACGTTCATGATCAAAGCCCCGCGCAGTCCCTGCAGCCAAGGTTCCGTCCAAAAAGAACTATTTTGGAGGTTTCTGCCGCAGCAGTAGCTAGTTGAAAAATTTCAATTTTTAATTCAAAATATCCCATGGAGGCAGCAACATTTTTCTTGCTCATCCCTGTTGGACATTCACCTTTCACAGGTTATTCGAAAGCAAGAAAAAGATCGATTGAGACTGCCGGCAATAACCCGAAAAGTGATGGAGAAAGTTATGAGCCACCGGTGGCTCAAATTGTCCCACGTGGCCACTCACTTATGAGCCACCGGTGGCTCAGAATGTCGTCAACGTGTTAATTAATGAAATGACGGTGTCACGCAACTCCCAACTCCCCTCCTCCATCATGCCTACCATCTTCCGGTCTCTTTCCCCAGTCTTCCGAAAACTAGTCTTACACCGTGGAGTAGTAAGAGGTTCTCTCCGATCAACTATCAGAATAAGTTGGTTGTATGGTACAAATTACTTATGCATACGACCTCATCGACCAAATACGACCCCCCCCCCTAACCAGTGACCATGCACCCAACTCTCAAGGATGCGGTGTGGAATTTGCCGTTTATATTTGTTCTGGTTGGCGGATCTGAACATCGCAGACTTTGTTGCATAAATGAGGCCTTTGTATCGCTGTCGATTTATCTGAAAACGCTTCGTGACAAAGGATTGAACTGAAAGGGTAGCGACTCGTAGCGAGAATGCAGATACATAAATAAATACTGAGCTCTGTCATGGCTAAAAGCTACTTTTTCACCCGTCGACACACCCTATCCGGCGAAGCACTTGACTATCCATCAGCATCATGCCCTTTCGGACGAGGTGATTATGGGGCTGAAATCTAGGTCCACTAGGTAGAACCCCTCTCATTTTTGAGTCGGTGATACTCGCTTCTTCTTAGAGAATTCAGCAGTTTGAACCGCTCAAAGTTCTTCAATATCGATTGTTTTGGATGTAAGTGTTCAAATTGGTCTCCAAATTCTGTTATTTGTGTACTACATTTTTTCCATAAGTGGATGGATGCTTCTGTCTCACCTCTCTCTCGTTCCACTATTGTCGTGTACTGAAATCAAGTAGGTCAGTAGTTCATCATAAGGATAGTCCTCGCTCCCTGTTATTCTAAAATGTTCAAAGCGACTTTCGGTAACTAGCAATTTTATCGCCGGTATCCTAAAAGGAAATATCGGAGGCGGAGGTAGTGTGGAGGCGAGTGGCTCGTATGTCACACGCGCAATCCGTGGATAAAATCTCGCCCAGACCAACCGACCCTCATACACTTTGATGATGGTCAAGCGGTAGTAGTTTTGTCTGAAAAGGTAAAAACACTGCCTTGCACATCGGCTGGCCCCACAAGATGTTGTGTGGGCCATAAAAGGATAAAAAAGGGTAAAGTCTTCGCCGCTGACCAAGACCTTTGTAGGGCGCGGCACGCATCCTACTAGCATTCGGAGTCG